TAATAGTCACTTTTGGCTCTGAAAAATGTCTGGTTTTATGTGTACACCCAGTCTTTCTGCCTCTTTAAGAAGACATCAACATTCCAAACGCGAACATTAGTACTAAGGCGTCCTACAGTAAGACACTTGCATCACCTTAACACCACAAGTTACCAGCTGCTTACAGAGAGCACAGCTGGTGAGGCCAGACCGGGGTTCATATTCCAGCTCTTCTACTTATGAGCCAAGCAACCTGGGTGAGTTCCTAAACCTCGGAAAGATTGTAATTATCTCACCTGTGCAATGGGAATGATGCCACGGTCTTTGCAGTTATATTAAGGGTCAAAGAAATATATGTAAAATACCTATCAAAGTTTTTAAAATATGGTGGTCATTCAATAGATAAGTTGTTCATATTCTATCTAAATGTGAGGAGGCCATTAAAACAAAGAGAAGGCTTAGCCTCATATGACCACAGACCTAATCACAGTTATTCAAGGGCTCGGACTGCAAGTCCAAGACCCCAGAACTCGACGCCGAGTCAGCAAGTAATCTCATGAAGTAGGACTTGAGTATAAAGGCTTCTTAGAAGTTTTAAGTTGGACTTAGGTGAGCTTTATGAGGATTTCCTGGGGCGTCTTTCACACCCCAGGAGCGGCAGGCAGCACAGAAGACTCCTCATGCTCTGCAGGGCCTTGGTGGGATTTTAAGATGCCTTTTGGCAGGAATCAGAATCCAGCTTCAGATACATCTCAATAGAGACAAATAGACTTAGGGATGGCAGTTTGGCCACAGGTGAAAAATCACCCAAACTCAGTATCTAGCCGGTTCCCACGAGGCAAAAAGTAACCTCTAAATTACTGGTAAGTTTAGGTGCAGTTGCCAAGGGCAGTACCGCAAATATCTGAGAAATCCACTGGTCTGACATTAAGGATCAACCACCCATGTGTGCACATGCAGAGTATCTTCAATATGTAATTCAAGCTTCTGAAGTCAAACTGTACCACAGTATAGTTCTACAGAAATTCTGCTGATGAATATTTATTTGAATATATAATATAGTCCATTTTTAAGGCTTAATGCAAGTGACTTACCCACTCAAGTGTGCTATACTATGATTAGACCTAAGTATCTAGAAGAAACATTAGGTAATCTCTCCAAAAAGAAAGGAAGGGGCTAAGAATTAGTGTTACCTTTACATATGGATCCTATCTGCTTAAATTATTTGAGTTGGATAAATAAAAACTAAGTTGGGCTTTACGTCAGAAAAACCCTGTATTTGGTACCAAACGACTTGGGTTAAAGCCTCGTTTCATTTCTCCCTGCTCCGTTTGCTTTCTTAGACATCACTTTGGGCTTCGGTTTCTTCATCCGTATTCTGAGACTAATACTGGCCCTGCCCGCTCCCCCCACCAGGCTCACGTAGGGGAGGAGATACCACTTTGTCACTGACACCAGGGGAACACCACGGTAGCACTACAACCCTCCACCCAGTCCACACCCACTACCACAACCCTCCCCTCCTGCCTGCCCACTCAAGGCACCGACTTTTATCTGATCTGCGTACTGGAGTTCCATGTAAGATTCTGGTTGGAAAAGGCATTTTAATTTTACTAAAAAGTAAATTTGAAAAAAGTTACACTTTTTTCAAGTTATACAAGAGCAATTTCCTCTCACAAACAACTAACAAAAAAAAAAATCATCCAAGACACTGTGTAACTACTCTAAAAATTAAAAGTACCCCTGGTTTTTCATGCCAAAAAGTAAGTGTATATCCATTAAGTGTATATAACCCTATACCTCAATAATGACTGCAGGTAATCAAACTGACTCAACTAATCATACTTGAGACATTTAAAATGAAATGAATGAATGAAATTTACTCTAAAGAAATTCCCACACAGATTCAAAATAATGATTACAGAATTATTAGTAAACTGCTGCCAGAAACACAATTATGGCTGTACTCAATAAAACATGTACTTTTTAAAAGTTTTGGATATTAGGAAGATTACATTTAAAAATACAGGCCTCTCTGCACTATTGTGGAAACAGGTGAAAACAGTGTTGTAAGTACACAACCCTGACTGAGCCAGTTTTAGTTAGTTTGGCAGTGTTCCTGGGAAAAAAATAGACACACAATAGACATAAGATTAAGAAGTTCACACACACAAAAAAAGTTTGCTTTGCTTTACCATTCTTGAGGGTCAGGGGATACAGGGTAAAAAGACACGGTGACAGAGCAGCCTACGCTTCGGAGAAATAATGAGTAGAAATCTATGCTAGTTTGTCCATGGCCCTCTCTAGATTTCCTGAGCAGTAACTACCATCTGCTGGACTTACACTTATTCTTAGCTTTCATCTTGGTGTCTCCACTGTGGACATTCTTTAATGTCGATTTACTGTGTTGGACACAGCAAAAGGGATGCACACAAAACAGTGACCCCAGACCAAAGAAAGACCGTGAACTTGCCGGCACGTGATGATGCTGAACTGCCAAGAGAATATGAATAATCTGGCTTCATTAAATCCTTCCTTTCCTTTTAGGCTTGCATTTACTCATAGATACTGCTGGCAAATCCTGGGCAGATATAAGACTGGCCCAAGTCAGTTTACTTGTTTAACAGATTGCCATAACTTTCCTTGATGTCAATCATACAGAGTAATGTCTACTGTTAAGGAAATCCAAACATAAACCAGATCAATGGGCGATCACGAAAATATTTACAGCAGTCTTCCCTTAAACAGAAATCTCATTTTTAAAATGATGTTTGACTTGCAACTGTTTTCTAGAATACATCTCATATATAATGGAAGACAGAACACTAGTTCCTAACACTGAGTTGTCTAAAAGACTTTGCACAAGGAATCTTAGCATCCCTTAGTAAAGTTACCCCATACAAATGACAAATTTTAGACAACGGTTAAGAGCCATATCCAGCCAGTATTAGGAAGGTACAATTTCATATATAGGAAGCAATAATACAATTCTGACACAGATAGACTGTAAAAAATACTCTCAAAATCTCTACTTTTTACAATGGTTAAAATTTTAATTTCATGGCTTTAACTTCACTAAGAAATAATTTAGACATTCTAAAGTCAATACAGTTGAGAAAACATAACAAATACTGTAAATAATTGAAGATCGAAGACGACCTAATTCACAAATAAAACTTATACAAAAATGTCCCATGAGCACCAACAACTAACCATTTCTTCCCTCAAAAGAACCTGGGCCTGAGGCTAAGTCAGAGGCTGGGACGTAAAGCAGGTAGCAGATGACCCATGGACCACTTCTGTCAGCAAGCCCCTTCTTGATGCTTTAGAACAGGTCTGGTGCAGTCAGCCCACCAGAATCACAAGGGTCCGCTGCAGGGCAATCGAATTTTAAAATGCTTCCCAGCCCCTTCTGCAGCGTGGGCATGGTGTCACAGACTGGAACTAGTTCCAAATGGTTTTAGTTTCAATTCTAACCTACAATCTTTCTTTGTAAGAAAACTGTGCACCTGCTTGAACATTTGTATAAAAAGGTTGCTCAGCACCAGTCATTGGTTACAGCAGAAGATGAGCCTGGTCCCAAGCCCCCAGTGTTCTAGGAACTAAATGATACGGACACTTGACCAAGCTGGAATCACAAGTTCACAGGTAAAATTCTGTTGTGTTAGTTCCTTGATGCACAAGCCCTCAATGATGCAACACCACCCCACAACGGTTTGAAAATCAAGAATTTTTCACCAGAAATACTGACTCATCAGAAAATGGTAATGTTCCCTCTGTACACAAAGCAGTCTACAGCAATGACCCAAAAAGGAGGCATCTATCTGCACGGGCAAGGACGACATGCTTGTGGTCCAGCCAGGCAGGTCCCTGTGCCTCCAGCCCCACCACTGCGCTGCCAGAGTCCATCCTCGCTCCCATATGTGAATGTGTGAGTTTCTCACCGATTCAAGCTTCCACACAGTACTAATACCATCTACTGACTGAAAGTTCCCAAATGTGTTTCTAAAGCCAGACCCTCCTCCAAGCTCCTGCCTCATTTTACAAACAGTCTGTCCTACTCCTGCTTGCTGCTACTGCCCTGCCTCAACCTAAACTCTGGAGAGGCCCGGCTGTGAATCTCCTCCCTGGCCCAGCTCTCCCATCTTCATAACTAGCATCACTATTCACACTACTGCTTAAGGCACAACCTGGAACAGCTCTTTCCCTCCTCATGCCCCAAACCCTTCCCACCACCTCACAAACAACCCAGAGGCAAATACCGTCAATTCTATTTCTACCATAAACCTCAAATCCACTCTTCTCCATCTTGTTCAGCATCTGGTCCAAGCCACCATGACCTCAAGCCTAGAAGAACCTCTTACCTGGTCTTTTCTCACCTTCTTTTGGTGCCCCACAGTCCATTCTCTACATACTGCCAATCCTTTTAAACAGAATTCAGATCATGTCACTCCTTTAACTTAAAACCCCTGAATGACTCTCAACTGCACTGTGACTAAAGCCCCCCTCCTTTCCGTGCTCCTTATGGTCTCACAGTCTGGTGCCCACCTGCCTCTCCAATCTTCTACTGGTCCAGCACCCTCCTCACTGACTGCATCCCGGCCAGCCGGACCTTCTTCCAGTTACTCAAAGGGCACACGGAGACTTCCTACCCTAGGACCCTGGCCAGGCCGTTACCAGCATTCCTCATTTAGACCGTTCCTTCCTGCCCTTTAGGCTCCATGAAACAGCTTCCTGAGAAAGGCCCTCCCTGACCACAGCAGGCTAACGCGGGGCCTCCATTTGCATGTCTTCAAACCCTCTACAATCTTCAAACATCCTGTGCATGTCTTCCTTCGTAGCTTTTTTTTCCCTTTAAATTATCTGTAACTATATTTTTACTTGTTTGCCTAGCATTTTGCTTGCACACAGTAGGCATCTTAACATTTTCACTGAACGCATTAATGAGAAATATGCTAGGTAAGGCTGATCACAAAAACTTCCTACTGGGAAATATAAGATGCAATAAAAAAAGACCTCACCTTCTCAACTTTTTTCTTTTTCACAGGAGGTTCAAACCTGTCATTGACTCCAAAATACTGAGTAAGTTCCTTCCACTGCGCTTCACTTGTGGACTGTTCGCTATAGGAAGACAGACAATACATTCTGCACTAAATATACTCATTTTTATTTGAGTTATTTTAAATTGATCACTATAATTATATTACAACTAGTTCTTATGTTTCAAAGGTTAGTAATGGAACTATCTGTACAAATTCCATAAATACTGTCTAGAAGAGACAAGTATTTTTAATCTCACTTACCTATGAGACTCTTCATCCTTCAATTTTCCTGAAAAGAATTCACAGTGTTAATAGCTAAGTATTTAGCTGTTATTTCAAAGTTACAACATTAAAGCTTTCAGTTTAACATCAGCATCACTGACAATTAACTGGAAAACAAAACACCTTTTCTGGAGCGTTTCCTCTTTTTCCTTCTGAACCTTGAAGCTGAAATTTTCTGTTCAGAGTGTTTTTTATGCAATTCTTGAAATTTCTATTTAAAAGTAAAAAAAAAAGCAAATATATCTTGAGGCAAAACATACATTCAAAAAAATAACAAATGTTAATAAAAAATTAAATTTGAGTATTTATAAACATATAAACTTAAGCTCTTAAGATATTCTACTCTCCAAGATACTTTCGAAAACTGAATTTTCATATTTTATTTCTAAATAAGCCAATCCAATCATTTGAAAGCAAATTCAGTGACTCATAGATAACAAAAAAATAAAATTAAGATAGAAATTCCTCCTACCATTGTTAGGCAAAGTAGCTAATCCTACTGTTTTCTTCCTCTTTTTATGAAAAACAAAACAAAAATGAAAGCAAGGGTCTGAGTGGCCAATGGACTGACCACAGACCCACTGAGTAACGAAAGAATTCTGAGCCAACACTTCCTGCCTATTGGCTCCCAAGAACGTACACATTCTGACCATGGCAGAGAGACTCAGGCTTTTTTTTATTAAGAACACAGCTGAGAAAACCTACATCCCACACATGTACGGGAACTCCAGAAGGACACTCTTCGTAGGCGTTCACATTTGCCTCTGCATCAGTTTTTGGTCCACCTGCAGGGGAGTCTGAGACCTCTGTTTCTGTAATGGTCCCACCTTCTTCACCTTCCTGTACATTAAGTCCAGAGTTCTCTAAAGTGTCTTCTTCATCTTCCGAACTCGACTCAACATCACTTTCATTCAGGCCAGGAGGTAGCAGCCCACTCCACATCTTTCCTTCTAAGGGGAAAAGGATGAATTCAGACCTCTTTACAAGAATTTTAAAACCATTAAATAACACCCCAGAGCTTAATAATTATACCTATAGTTTGGGAACAGTCCATTTAAACTTTTTAAAAATCTATAATGGGCTATACCCTCCATATTAAAATAATTCAACTCTTCGCCTATATAATTAGAAAGTGTAAAGTAGTGCAGCAGGTTGTTACAAAACACACCTGTAAATGAATGACCTGAAGACAGTAGGACCTTGATTCTCTATTATATGCATAATTCTGCCTTTAAAAAATGCAGCCAAAGCATCTACTGCTCAAGAATGTTAAGAGCTAACAATATACATTGCAGGCAATTTAAGAACGGCAATACTGTATTGCAAGCCGTAACAACCAGAGAAGAAAACAAAATTGACTGTTTCACCTGCATTTGAATGTATAAAGCGTTCAGGGGACTTACTAAGGGGCAGGCAAACAATTACTCAAAGAAAAAAATTTTAAGCTGTACAAATGGTTTGAGACAAGTATGATGGTAAAAAGGAAATCCTAGTTTAAAATTGTTTATTGTGTGCTAAAGTAATATTAAATGGAGTATAATCCTAACACTTCAACAAAAACATGTTAACTTTTTTGAATATCAATAATATATTTGGGAAACTAATGTTAAAGTTCAGAATAATATTTAGCATTAGCTATACTGCCCATTGGTAGAAAGAACCACTAGCTATTGTTAAGTTTAATAAAAATTATTTTTAAAAACTGGGAGTTGCCATCAGTTTGCTCAAATTACGCTGACCGAGTACCTTTCCACCACTAAACTCTGTGGTACAGTCTACTTCAGCACATGGACTGAGCAAAACCAGTCTGTTTAAAAGACACCTAAAACTGAGACATCAGTTGTACTGCTCATGACTTAATCTCAACCTGAAGGAATGAAAAGAACGGGTAGAAATCTCTTTCTGCTGAGTTTTCTGCCCCCTATTGTGATTAGCATAGTAACAAGACCACCATCATTGTCCCTGAGACAAAGACTACAGGGGCTTTTAATGTAACTCTGAATAATGGATTCCTGAAAACTTGAAGAACTCCCTCCCAGGTCCGAAGAATTAGATCTTACTTTCTGCCACTTTGGTCCAGATTCATCGGTTGTTAGCTCTCTGAAACACCCTCACCAAAATATTCTCTTGGCTTTTTAAGAGGAAGGGCTCTGACATTTAACTGCCCCAACTGCAATCCTGTCTACCACATACTAGTGGTACTTTAGGTGGAAATCCTTTCTTAACCCCTCAGTTTTTGCGCTGCAGCACAGCGGTAATTATACTACACAGAGGGGTATTCAGAGGGTTACATGAGACAAGCTACAAAGTCACTCAGTGCAACACTTCGGAGGTTCCAGGGGCTGGGTCAGTGCTAAGTGCTTTCTGCCATTGTTACTTCCGTGGCTATGGAACTCCATGTACTACATTTTGGTCATTTTTATTATGGGTGGCAGCATTCATAAGGTAGTTTTGAAGTTCCTAATGTTTTAAGTGTATGCACTTAACAATTGATGCAAACCATTTCTCCCTGAATTCCACAAGCTCACATGAACTTTCTATTAAAAAATGTTGGTGTCTGGTTTTCTGAATGGAGCAATAAAGCCAAAAGCAAATTACCATGAAGATAATGAAGCTTAAGCTTCAAGGTTCATTTGCACAAAACACTATACCTAATTTTCTATTTAGAAGATGTATTTCTTTTTTTAAAAAAAGAAAAGAGAAGACCCAAAAGTATATAGGCTCCAGGCTCCATAAAATTTGGACACATTCCTAAACCAGGCATGAGGATTTTAAAAGTCAGAATGGACGTCATCTTGAGATACTCTACTGGCACAAAGGATATCATGTAAAATATGCTGATATTAAATATGCAGATGTTATGCTGTTAATAAAAATATTCTTACTGTTCTGAAAAGCAGGAGGAGGCGAGCAGTAATAAGCTCCAACGTGACTTTGACACTGGCATGTGATACCATTTCAAGATCTAAGTATAGTAACCAATTTCAAATTTAGCTTTCTTAGCATAATTGGGAGTCTTCCATGCTTGACACCACTGTTTCTTTGCCCTGTCCACAGCATCTTCTGCACGCCCACTGTGTGCCAGGCACTCTTCCAAACACAGGGACAGCAGTGGACAGGACACCAGTGGACAGAACAGGCAAAAGTGCCTAACCTCATGGAGCCGACAATCTACACACAGAGCAAGCGTCTGTCCACCAGCAGCCAAGCGCCACTTGGCCCAGCCTGCAGTGTGGCTGCTCATGAAAGACATGTGTCCCTCAGCCCAGCATTCTTCCAAAGGACCACAATTTCAGCACCTCTACCAGGCAGTCTGTGCTGGGGGCACCCAGGCGCGCTTCTCAGCTGCCCTGGAGAGCACATGCCTCTCCTCACCAGCCCTCAAGCAGCTATCTGTTTTTGACTGCTTTTCGGCCTTTCTCAAAATCATGTTTTTAGCTCTTACTGATGCAGCAATAACGACTGCCCTCAGTGTGGCACTGGCTGGAATTTCTTGTGTTTGCCCAAAGGGAAGAAAAATCAAAATAACATTTAAAAATTGGACCCTACATCCAAATCCATAAAAGCAAAATTTGAAAACAGTTTGTTTTAAGAACTCAGTTCCTCAAAACCTTTAATGTGCCATTCTCCTGTAACTATTAAAAAAAACAAGAACACCTAAGTACCAGTGGCCCCTGATACACACAGATAACTCACCGAGGAGCCTGCGAAGTGGAGCTGCCCACATGAGCAGCACCCCGACCATGAAGCAGCCAGTGTGGAGGGACTGCTTTGCAACATGCTTTGGGCTCGTTCCGAAACACTGTCTCTATTCAAAGCATATATGTATCTTTCACATATTTCCAATTGTACTATGGTAGGCCTCATGTTATTTCTTTTTTGGCTATTCTGATTCTTTGGAGCATCTCTCGCGCCACACCTTTCAGAGCATATTCCTTTATTATAAAGCAGATCACTCCATAATACTCTTTACATTGGAAAATTACTCAGTATACCAGACTAGAAACTGAAGTATTTTAGTGTAGATTCTAGCCAGGTCTATATCACAGTCCATATATCAGTAATACATAACCTTTCAGTTTCTAGCCTGTACTTCAAATAATTTTTAATTTAATCATATTGCCCCCACGATGATGTAAATGATTCAGAAGCCCCTTTTACTCTATGGTTTTTAATATCGCCCTTGTCATTTCAAACACTCTCTACTTTTTAAGGGTTTTCTTTTTTCACTGCACAATTATTCTTCTAAAAAATTATGTGTATACCACCCAGAACACATCTTTAGTCCTGCACTGACATGATTTACTATGAACTGAAAATATTTATGTATCACTCCAGTCTGAATGGCTGGGTCTTCTTTGGCCCTGGAAAACCTACCACAGTTACTATTCATTTAACACACTTGGACTGATCGCAACGCAGCAAGAACATAACCCAGTCCAGCAATTCCTAATCTAAGGTTTTTACCTAGTTTAATAAAGACAGTAATGGAGGTCTCTAAATTACTCTTCAATATCCAAAAAGACAACATATTTTCCCTTAAACAATATAATCCACCTTTAGATGAGGAGATAAATTCAAGTAAGCATTATTCTTCATCACATATTCCTTGATCAGAGGCTCTGATTGGCACCCATGGAGGTATCAAATTATAATAAATAAAATTATGTGGAACGACTGGGAACGGCCAGGACGGCAGGAAAAGACACGAGCAACATACTGCAGGCAAGCCACTGAATTCTGTCTGGGTCTCCATTCTTAAGCTAAAATGAAGGTCTGTTTAGATAAACTCTGGGATGTCCTGCAGCTTTCAAATGTTTCTTTATGGACCTTAGCATTGTTTGTGCCCAAATTCTCAGTCACTGCACTCTTTGCTGCAACTCTCCATTCTCTCCCAGGCAGATGCATCAGTGATTAAACCCCAGTCCCCCAGCAGAGAAGGTTCTCTCAACCTAGCAGCCAAAGCCAAGATGAATAGTTTTCAATTAGTCTACGCACTTCACACAGGACACTTGAAAGATGCTCTAGAAAAAGGGAAGAAAACCCCAGTCATGGCAGAAGAAACAGAACCAGGAAAAGGAAACAAAGGCAGTCATTGCTATACACAGTATACAATGTGACAGGCACTAATTTACCATGAACCTCACAATCATCTTCCACCAGGAATTACTACCTTTTACAAATAAGGTAACTGACTTGCCTAATGCACCATGATCCGCTTATTTTACAAAAATGGAACTCTATGGTTTCAAATTATACACTTTCAGAGGGCACTTTTAGTGGTAATATATTCTTGGAGACAAAGATTTGAAAGTGGGTCTGAAGAAAGACTCTAGCCTATAACCCTGGACTTTATAAAATTTAAGAAAAAATTTTTTCTCACTGTTTAAATGCAGAAAGCTATGTAAGATGCTACACTAAATTGCATATATCCAAGTCACATTCAAGTAAGACTCACATTTTGGGCAACCAGACAGCTGATTATAACCAAACACAAAACATATACTCTGAGCAATCTAGTTAGTAAATGTCTCCTGTCTCTAACAGTCCAAAATCTCAATTTCATTTTCCTTGAATGAAGCTCATTTTCCATATTTTGTATCCAATTAGAAATAATCCCAGGAACCTGAGCCTTGTCTGATATGATTTAACCTTACTTGTGTAATAATCGGATACCACCACCCACCCATCTGAAGAGGTTTCTGTGGCTTGGAATTACTTAACTAAAATACTTTTAAATACTGTATCATTAACATTAATGTACACATCCTATTTGCTTTCATGAAATAAACGCATTCCCTCTTCCCAAAAAGGTAGAAAGTAGAAGTGTACCGCAGGCCTGCCTTAGGATTTAAGTTACCAATCCGATTACCCAGATAAACTATTGTTTTGTATATATGTACTTTGCAGGGTTTTGCTCCTATGCATGTTTTAATTAAAGAGAGTGCTTGTTTAGTCCAGCGGTGGAAAACAATTCCTCAGACCCCAGAAACATTTACAGATAACCAATAACATTTCAGGACTCATTTTTAAGTGGAATGTCGCTGTGAAAATACTTACGAGGCTCAAGAATGCAAGAGGGTGGCTCTAGAAAGGTACACCTTTTTCTGCTTGGCCGCGCAACCCGGAACTCTGCAGGTTCTCTGGCGGCAGCGTCACACTCCGGTCCCCAAACGGGATTCTCGTCCCGGGCACAACACTAGGTGCCCAAGGTTCCGGTACAGGAAATCTAGCCTACTGACAGCCCATTAACTGCAGCTCTTTTCCGGGACCCAGCAATTGTAAACAGGAGCCTGTTTCCCTAACCCATCTCACTTGGGCCGGGGTGCGACGGAGAACCCCCCTCCCACCCAACAGGCTAGACAAGGCACTGCGACACGTCCCCTTCCGAGCAAATCGCGAGGCCAGCCGCGCCGAAGCTCCCGTGGACCCGGACCGGGGCGCCTGGGTCTAAAGGCTGTAAGGCCGCCCACAATGGCTCCCTCAGTCTCCGCACCCGGCCCTCCCCAACCTCTCCTGCCGGAGTCCGAGACGCCCGGTAGCAAGCCGGACAAGCAACCCAACTCACCGGTAAAGAGGCTGCCGCCCGGCAGCCATCTTAAGACCCCGCCAACATCGCGCTTCCTCATTGGCTCTGACACCTCAGCCAATGGGCTGTGGCCTTTCTGGCCTGGTAGTCGCCATGGCAACCGGCAGAACTCAACTCAGAGATGAAAGGGGCTGAACTGAGGGTGCTTATTTTCTTTCTACTTCTTTTCTCCCATGGTTTTCCCTCTTTCTTCTCTAGACTTTGTTGTTTCTTCATCTCCCCCAATAATCAATCCCGTGCTGGCTTAGACTTTTAGCTGAGTTCGATCCACAAAGGAGAGAATCGCTCCAAAGAGAATCTGCAGACGCTCTCTAGGCCCTTTCTGGGAATGTTTCCATTCATTCATCCTTTTCCTCCCTCTCTTTCTTTTTCACTTTCTGCACATAGTTTTTAAGCAGGCTTCCTTCTAGGCTCTGTTTAGGAGCAAACGGTCCGTCTCCTGCTCTCATGGAGCTTACCATCTGATTATCGTCCAAACTGCCTCACCAGCCAGCTGTGTGACCTTGGCCAAGAGCTTCTTGAACGAGCTCCCTCCTGTTCCATGACAGGCACTGTTTTAAACCCTGGGGGAGCGCAGAAAATACGCAAGGAAAAAACAGTCAAGAAAAAAAGAAAAGCGCTATGAAAAAAATAAAACCATAATGGGATCTCGATGGGAGTGGGGCTCTTTTAAAAGAGCTTCCTTTTTCTAAAATAGTGATCTGTAATAATGATAAGAAGACTAAGAATGTTTCCTGTTTTCTAGTGTTGTAATGTTTATGTAAGAAAATACACTTAAAGCCCTTAACCTATTTATTACCTGGTCCACGGTAATTTTGTCTTAGCTATATATTATTGTTAACCTTATCAATAATGCCTCTCTTTGAAACACTCTGAAAATGTATAAAATGTTAGTTAGGCACTCAATAATATATCTCGATTTAGTATAAGCAGGTCTTTAAGCTTATTACTTGACAGTCTGCTGCCCTACCCCCAGTGTCTTCCAAAAGATGCGCCAGGTTTATGGAGTAGTTTTCTACAACCTCAGAATCATAGTGAAACCTGCATTGACAAGCTTGGGTGGCTAAGGTCCTGTTAACAGGTTCACATTCTCTGATTCTAGAAAGCAAAGCTGAGCTATTAAGAATCTGTATGAAACTGTCCTGGACAAGTGTGTCTGCCTTTTCAAAGGAGTTTTCCCTGAATCCAAAACCTTAAAGAATTAAAGAAAGGATGTGTGTGAAGGCGCTGTTTTAGCTGTGGCATTGGGCCTCTTAATTGCTTTATTAGCTCAGGCACAGACTGGGTGACTTAAGCAACAGAAATTCATTTCTTGTAGTACTGAAGCTGAAGGTTGGGAAATCCAAGATGCCAGCAAAGTGGGTTTCCTTCTGAGTCCTGTCTCTTGGCTTGTAAGGCAGCAGCCATCTTGCTGTGTGTTCACATGATCTCTCTCTCTCTCTCTCTCTCTCTCTCTCTCTCTCTCGTCTATTAATATGTGTGTGTGGAAAGAGAAAAAATGGGGGCCAAGGGAGAGAGAGAAAGCTATCTCCTATCCCAGGTCTCCTCTTCTGCGGAAACTAATCCCCTCAGGGCCCCACCCTTATGACCTTAAGTAACCTTAATTCCTTAGCATCCCCATCTCCAAATGCAGCCACATTGGGGGTTAGGGTTTCACCATATGGATTTTATTGCCACCCAAACATTCAGCCCATTAAAATGTTTACGGTGGGAGTGTGGCCAGAATGGGGAAAGAGTGCAGAGGGGGAGGAATTAAGACGCACAATAGGAAGGAATGTTGGCCCATTTAATAACTATCTAGATTGTTTCCACATAAATTCTATTAAAGAATACTCATATATTTTTACTACATGTAAATGTGCAAAATAGAGGGGGAATGTAATTCTAGGTACTCCAAAGACCTACAAACACCAAATTTCACATCAAAGGTTTTTGGTAAGTCCTACTTTAAAATAGGTATTTTAAATTCTTCTCTGTTAATTTGAGTATTCTCAAATATCTGGTGGTTTTGACATTACTGGGTTCCTACAATAAGTGTAAATATCTCAGACTTCTGGTTCTAGCTATGAGACTTACTCTCTGAATATTACTGTTTTGCCACTTGTCTGGGGGAACTGCCAGTCATTTGATTTATTTTAATCAATAAATTTACCTTCCCTCCAGCAAATTCCTGCCCTGGAAACCTGCCAAACCATGCATTTTGTGAATGAAATACTTGTATCTGTGAGATTTCTATGCAACATAGAATTATTGAATACCTTTTACTAAATCATACCGAGTGTGATGCAGCTAGTGAATTGAGCTGGAATTGTGTTGCATCTGGCACTAATTTGAAACATGTAAGTTTCACTTAAATTATCAAATATATCTGAAAAATCATAAAGCCGTTTTTCTTTGCCAAGAAACATTATAAGTTCTGAATAGTTTTTCCTTCTATTTCATCATTTTTTTCTTAGTGTAGAGATTACAAGTCACACTCATGTTATAAAAGATTAATTGTGAAGGCCTTTTTTGGTGGCTGCTAAATCTCTGATTGATGAAAATTTTCCCAAATATAATGAAATCCCTTAAATATTTCTCAGTTGGAAAAAGTGAATATGGCCTTGTTGAATATATAATAAATGTGTTTCTTGCTGAAACTGAGAAAGAGAATAATTAATTTCTGCCTGTACAGAATGCCTTATTTTCTGCATTGAAGAGAAAGTAGTCTAGTGATTTATGCAGAAGAATAGAAACTAGGGAGTTTAGAATTTTAGGAAGTGTGTGACAAGTCCTTTTCTGGATTTGTTTTTTAAATTTGCAAACCATAGCATCTATAAACCTTGCTAGTCTTCCAGGAATGTGTTAAAAAAAAAAAAACTAACACTGCATTATCAGCAAGAGTTAACATTTGAGGAAATAGCATTTCTGTAATATGGAATGTTGCCAAAGAAAGCCATTTTTTTAAACTGGCCATGTCCAGTGCTTTCAAAATCGTCTGGTCTAATGGGCCATACATCAGAAGGGAAAGAGGACAGCTTATTGAACATGTATATGCTGGGTATTTTGCATCTAATATCATATAATCTTATGAAGTAGTTATTATTGTATCTATTTAACAGATAAGGAAATTGAGGCTTCAAGAGTTTAAGAAACTCGCCTAATGTCACATCGCTACTAAGAAGCAGAACCAGGTGGGGAAGTTACCCTAGACTCTAAAGCTCATGCTCATCCTACTGTTGCTCATTTCCCTTTTAAGAAAGTCCCCAGCACAGCACAGTTAATAAAGTATAAACATTATGACTACCCAGTTGGAACTCATGAAAAGAAAGTCTTCAGGAGCAAAATGTGTCTCCCCTCCCCACCCGCCTCAGCACCTCGTGAGGGGTCAAATCCTATCAGAGGACCCTCTTCCATGACTCATGCTTCCGGGCGTTGAAGTCTGCGTGAGTGTCCTGTTTCCTAATGCAGTAACTTCATCTTCCAGAACAGCCCAAAGCCTGATTAATCTCCCTAAATAAAGGGACACAGGTAAAGCTTTTAACACAGAGCTGTCATTAATTGTCTAATGGTCGATACATATTAGTTTCCTTATACATAAAAAATAAGGAAGATGTGTAGCAGCGGGGAAGAATCAAACAGGCAGGGCACAGAGGATTTTTTGGACATTGAAGATACTCTGAATAGTAACCATAAAGATAGATTTGTATCATAAGTTTTTCCAAGCTCATAGACTATGCGACACCAAGAGAGAAGCCTAAGGGAAACTGTGGACTTCGGGTGATGATGATGTGTCGGTGCGGGTTCATCCGTTGGAACGATGTGCTGCTCTGTTGGAGATGTCAGTCAATAACAGGGAGGCCGAGCATGTGTGGAGGCAGCGGCTGTGTGGGAAATCTCTGTACGTGAACCTAAAGCTGCTCTAAAAAATAAAGCCTTTTTAAAATCGGGTCAATAATTCATTAAATATGAAAATTATGTGAAACCCAAAAGTTAGTGTCCATAAGTAAAGTTCTGTTGGGGCACACAGGGGGGAAAAAGCTAAGGAATATATAAATCTTGATAGATTACCAGATCACAGTAATATGTTGATATTTTTGTGGACCTTACCACAGGCCGCATGCTCAACACTTTGCTAAGGTTTAAGGAGAGCACGTATGAAGTGTATGAACTGGTCTATCAAGAAGTTTGGAGTCTGAGACGTGATACATTTTACACCATAAGTATTAAAATCGGGAGAACCATGATGTAAGTACAAACCATAGATCCCAAGAAGGGAAAAGTAAGCTAGATGAATCTAGCTTGTGCTTTTTCCTTTGAAAGGAATACCTTACTCTTTTATACCTTTGAACTTCTTTTCATCCTTCAAAACCCAGATCAAATACTACCAGCTGAGTTAAACCTTTCCTGATTCATGCAGTTCATGCCTTCTCTATGCCTTCATAATTGTTGACCCAAAGCACATTGAAATACGATTAGTTGTCATAGGTCAGTCTACCCTGACCAACAGACTGTGAGCTCCTTCAAAGTGACAGTGCTTGGCATGGAATAGGTGCTCGTTAAATTTTTGTGGAGGGGACAGATGGGTGACAGAGGTGGAGATGGCAATGCATGGGGTGAAGAGAAATGGGGAAGGTGGTTCAGCAAAGTCATGTGAACAAATGCAGGGGGGCAGGAATGCTACGGTTTAGGGAAGACAAAAGCAACCAGCTTGGATGAGACCATGGGAGCCTTCCCCAAGGCAAATAGACAAGTTCTGCCTTCAGACAGTGGAGGGAAATATAGGACCCTAAAAAAGGGAGTGATTGGATAAAGAAGATGCTCCAGGGAGATTAATGTTATCACCTTGTGAGTATGAAACATGAATCTGGAGGTAGTTGAGCCAATAGGAAAGGCAGCTAGCTGGAAGACCATTATGGAATAAATGGTCATCAGAAACAAAGGCAATGGGAATGGAGGATAAGAGACAGATCTGAGCATCAAGTCTAA